GATCGCGCCATTGCACTCCAGCCTGGGCAGTAAGAGTGAAACTCCACCTCAAAAAACAGGTTTAAAAAGCAGCTGCTAAAATCCAGTAATTTCTAGTTAGTCTAATTGTTCATTTTTTTTTCTCTTCTAACAACATCCTTCAAAAGCTGTGGGAGATGGTGAGTTTGTGTGTACTGAGGGGAGAGATATGTTGCCTCCATTGTCTCCACCTTTTCTTGTTTTTTTTGTTTTTTTTTTTTCAGAGTCTTGCTCTGTCACCCAGTCTGGAGTACAGTGGCATGATCTCCACTCTCTGCAAACTCTGCCTCCCAGGTTCAAGCAATTCTCCTGCGTCAGCCTCCCGAGTAGCTGGGACTACAGGCACGCACTACTACCCCCAGCTAATTTTTGTATTTTTAGTAGAGACAGGTTTCACCATGTTCGCCAGGATGTCCCCAATCTCTTGACCTCATGATCTGCCTGCTGTGGCCTCTCTAACTGCTGGGATTACAGGCGTGAACCACCACACCTGGCCTGTCTCCATCTTTTCTAATTCCCAACTCCCATCAATCTAGTCTTGTATCTAGAAGTGATAAATTAAGTCAATATAAATTTGCCAAAACTAAAGCAGAAGGTATTTGTTTTCTATACTCTTCTTGGCTTCCTCCTAATCATCAGCCTCATCAGTCCTTACAGCTCCTTTTCCATCTCCCTAATCACCAAAAGCCCAGAAATTAAACAGTAAACAATTCCCCAAAAGGTGGCTTCCTGGTACTGTCTAAAACAAATGCAATCTTCTGTGTGGGCATTTACAACACCACAAGCATTCTTACTTAGATTAAATCATGGGTCTCCCTGGTCTCCAGGCATGCCTAGACATGAACCATGAAGGGAATGAGATCCTTGGAGTTTCTCTAGTAACTGCAGGCCAAATCAACAGCAACCCTAAGAACAAGCATTCTCTTTTTTTTTTTTTTTTCAACAGAACTAGGCCACACACATTTTTTTGTCGTTATTTAGATTTTTTAGTTGTAGTACATAGAAAATAAAACTCCTTTTAAAAAATTATTTCAGTAGGCAATGCATCTTGATGACTTTTATATATGAGTTTTTTTTTAATTACTTTTAAAGAAAAGTCTGTATGCAACCATCGCCTTGGATGGCAGCAATCCAGCTCAGGTAAGATATTTAAGATGCAACTAATAATCATAAAACATCAAATGGGAAGAAGTATTCAATATAGTATCGGGTAAAAGTGACTAACAATTTGGTAGTTATAAAAACAGGATCGTTTTTATAACTATCTCCTAACCAAGATTTCTAAGTCTGCATATTGTTATTGGAATGTAGACTATTTTGCTCCTACTTTTATATATGTATATTTAAGTGAATGAGTCATTTATGTAATGTGTGCTAAAATATTGTGCCCCTCCCAAAAACAAGATGAGTACAAAATACAGTTATTGTAGATGGCTTGTCTTTCACAATTTAGTTCTACAAGTTAATTTTTACAATTAACATTTTCTGTGCTATACATTTTATATTTTGGTTTCTTTCTCTTCACTTTGGTTGTGTACAGAACAAAGTATGCATTTGAGGGGAAAAGTGCTGTCTTTCATATGCAAAGAAAATGATATAACTTATTTAAACATCCTTAGGCAGTTCTTTAATAGTGTGAGTTTGGAGTTTGTATTGAATGAGCCAGATGACCTGCCCATGTTCATGTTACTAGTGGCATCTGTGAGTCCATGTGCTGGTTTTAGGGAATCGATTTATACCTGGGAAGTTTTCTTTTGTGGAAACTAATTTAGAACTAAGCCTTTGGTGTCAGCAGTGAGTGCTCTGTATTGGATACATGAAGACCATATTTCTAGGGGAGGCTGCTTCCAGCTGAATTTCAAGGTGAGGATAAAGAGAACATTCCTTATCCTCTCCTGATTCATTCATTTAAGGCAAAGCGGAAAGGAGTAATTAAAGGAAAGTTATTAGCAGAGATCTCCCAGAAGTCCTCTGTAACTGTCCCTTTTGCCAAACTGCCACAAAACATTGTCTGGCATTGACAGCCCTAACCCTGAATATCCAAATGTATTCTTGCATCAAGGATCTACTCAAGTCTCACCTCCTCTGGGAACCTTCTTTGACCTATTACAGCTCTCATTGAGGGCCTCCCTTCTATTTCTATCAGTATCTAGTTTAGTAATTTATAATATATATGCTGTCTTGAATGGTACGGTCTTGATCTCAAGAGGACCACGATTTGATGTAACTAACAAGCTGCCTGGCTCACTTCGCATCACTGCATGGCCCTCTGAGAGTATAAGGCCAAGTCCCCAACACAGCACAAGGCTGCAGATAAGACTTTCAAAGGTATCTTCCCACATGTCAGAGGCTACCCAAGCCCGCCTCCATTTGGAAAATTCAACCTATAATTTAAGGTACCTGGGAAGCCGCTTTCCCAGGGCAGAATGGGCACGGAAACTGGGTGGGCTGATGGGTTTCTTGGGGAATGAGGGAGTGGGGAAGGAGCTCTTTGCCCCTCCTGCTAGATCAGAAAGAGAAACGTCTCAAGAATCTGGGCCTCCATCTTCCAGGCGTCTTCCTGGAGGCCATTCAGGGACCGCCCACAGCCCCTTCTCGCAGCCTCCTCCCCTCCCCCACCCTCCCCCACCCCTCCCCCCGCCCCGTCTCGCGCCCGCCCCGCCCTCGGCCCGCGGGGTTCCAAGGGCGGTTGGCCGCCCCCGCCACGGTCACTCGGCCGCTCGGAGCTGCAGGGCGCACGGGGTCTAGAGAGCCGGCTCTAGGGGTTCGGGCTGGGAGCTGAAGCGGGGCGTGCGGGAAGTGGAAGCCCGGGTGGAGGAGGCGAAGGGGAAAGGAAAAGCGAGGGGAACCTGAGCGGGAGGGCCCAGAGAGGTGCGGGAGGCTGCGGGAAGAGGAGACGCGGCACTCCCGGGAGGCCCCGGCGTCGGGGCGCGGCGCTGGAGGGCTCGGGTCTTCCCCCGCAGCGCCGCCCGCTGGCCTGGCCACGCGTACTTGAGCGGCGAGGCCAGCGGGGGTCCCCATGGGCCCGGGGGGCGTCCTCGGGGACCTCTCTCCCCGGGCATCGCGCCCAGCCACTGACGGGCGTCGCCCCGGGTGAAATGGGGTCCGAGGAGGGCCCCGACCCTGCGACCCCGCGTCGGCGCTGCGGACCGTCCGGGAGCTGCAGCCGCGGGCGTCCGGTGCTCGGTTTGTAGGCAGTGTCATTAGCTGATTGTACTGTGGTGGTTAACAATCACTAACTCCACTGCCATCAAAACAAGGCACAGCATCACCGCGGCCAGGCCGGGAGGAGGACGCCGGCTCTGACCGCCCGCAGCCTTCGAGAGAAGGTGCCTGAGAAGCGAGGCGTCGGCGTGGGTCCTGCGCAGGCCTGCTCGGCGAGCGCGCGCTCCAAGTGCGAGGAAACCCGCGGTTTCTCCAGATACAGTTAAACTGTTAGCTCTCTCTAGGAGTCACAGAAGATGGAACAGTCTCATGCCGGGCCAGGAAAGTGAAATCCCTGGAGGGAGAAGCCCCTCCACCCATGTAACGGTTAATACTGTATGCTGTGATTCACTATGTCTATTTGCCATTATCTAGTATTTACCAAGCCAGCAACTCAGTGGAGCTCCAACTCAACCAATGAATTGCCTGTTACAACGTGTGGGGGTACCAGCTTGAGACTGCAATTTTTTTCTATGAGTCTAGTTACTAGGCAGTGTAGTTAGCTGATTGCTAATAGTACCAATCACTAACCACACGGCCAGGTAAAAAGATTTGGGAATTCATCCAAATGAGCTGCCTGTACATCATCAATGTGCTTGGGGAAGAAGGGTGTTGGAGAATGCTGATTTCATCCATTATCAATTGCTCAGCCAAGAGAAAAAAACATCAACATTTTAGCTACTAAGTATACGATGTATGTAATGTGTATGTATGTGGGTTGTTTCTGTTTTTGTTTTTTGTCAATATTCCGTCAGGCTCTTAACCAAAATTTTAGACATAATGGGGAATAGGATTTTTTTCTTAGCTGATTGATGTAATTATATGAACATGTGATTATTAACTGAGACTATATTGTTGTATTTTTGAGACTATTTTGAAAGAATAAAATGCCATAAAGACATAAATTGTGGTTATCACCATGTGTCCGTTTCCTTTGTTAAACTGGCTTTATGTTGTCCATCTCAGTTTCTGCCACAGTAATTTTAACTTATCAGTGAAGTGGTTAGGTTGTTCCTGCCTTAACAAAAAATTTCCCGGGAAAGCTATTCACACACACACACTTGTTAATACTTTTATAAGAATACATTAACAAAATTTTTCATACTTTTTTTTGCCGTGAAGCGACTCTGTCCACTCATTAAGATATATCCCTTCTTTAATCATTTACAACTGTTGCAGTCTAGGCAACTTCTAATGGGAGTGATTAGTAAATGCAGTTACACTTTTAAAAATCCAGCCAAGATTTGTTTTCTAAGATTTGTCTTACAGGTTTCAGAATTTTTAAATCACAGAAACTATACGCATGGTTCAAGACTCTAGCTCCCAAGGGCTAGGCTTTCAGCCCCTCATGAATTCTCCAAGCAACGTTCTCAGAACTTCTACCTAGCAGGTGCTGTGCCTGGCAATCTGGTTTGGAAAGGGACATTGGGGTGACGGGGCTGAGGAATCTAAAGTTTATTTAGCTATCTTTGGGGGAAGGGGAGAGGACGTGGCGTGCCGACTGAGGTTATAAGAAGTTAAGGTACTCCCCCACTGACTCCGACAAGACAGGACACATCCCAAAGTTGTTTTGACTCTCCCATGCCATCTCCAAGGTTTGGACTGGTCCCGAAACCTGATCACCGCAGGGGTGGGCTTTCTGACGGCCCCAACGCGCGTGGCGGACACCAACACCTACCTATAGGAAATCGAGGGCTGCGGGCAGTGGCCAGTATCAACTTGGCGGTTCTCGGAGGGGCGGGGCGGGGGCCAGGCGGGGGGAGGGGCGAGGACGCTTGGAGAAGCGTCCTCAGTTGCCATGGAAACGGGACCCAGTGAAGAACCTAGCGGCCAAAAGGAGTCCCAGGAAATTTGCTCCCCGGGATTACTGGTATTTGCCGGCTCCTCAGAACAAGATGCCAACTTGGCTAAGCAGTTCTGGATCTCGGCGTCAATGTATCCCCCTAGCGAATCTCAGCTGATGCTGCGCAGAGACAGCAGTCAGCGTCTGCCGGTGGCCCGGCCCACGAGGAGCAGAGGGTCTGGTGAGTAGAGTAGCGGCCTCCTGTCTTACCTGCCTCCACCGTAACCTGCCTGCAGGATACCAGAGCCCCTTCCAGGAGAAGCTGCAGTGGTATATACAAATAGTCATAGGTACATACAAATACATTTATAAATAGTTCCTAAACCTTTCCAGCAATCCTTCCACCCGAAAAGGATCAGTGGTATATTTGTTACATCTAAAAACAGGTAAGTTTCCCTTAAATTATGGTGTCTATTTGTAAACAGTATAGAATAATCTGAGGAAATGGTATTTGTTGGCTGAAAGGATAGTTTACACAACTGAATTCAAACAGGAAAAGCCCTGGAGAAAGATGAAGGTGGAGTCAACATTATCAACAAACTTTCTGGACCTGTAAGCCCTTAGTGAGGTCTAGGATGTGGAAACTGTTATGCAATCGTTACAGGTATAAAAAATTCAAAAACCTTTAATGTTGTGGTCTTTTCCAATGATGTCTTTACTTTCTTTTTGTATTTTTTAGAGAAAGGTCACTCCTCACAATCTTTTCACCTTGCTAATGACAGTAAGTATCAAGTTTTATGCCTTTCAACATTCTGACTCCTTGGTTCATCAGAAAATAGAAAATACATACAAGGGTACTACTTTACGCTGTGGCATAACTTTCTGAATTGCACACCTAAGTCCCTGCTCAGGGACCACTCTGTTCATCCAGACAGCAATGCCTAAATTCCTTTAACAGTATGAACAGGAATGTAGAAATTGGAATCTCTGATCCTGCAGATATGTTCTCGAGATCTTTTCTTGTCTTTGGACTTGAGCTCACTCATCATCTAAAGGATTAGAGGTCCCTGCAGCCATAGCTAATTAATTCAGTCTCCAACTATTTGCAAATCTCGTTTACAAAGTTTCAAGACACCACATGTATTTTTGTTTGCCTTCCTACTCTATGTATTCCCTTTCAACCCATATCCAATTTTATGTCAATTTTAATGTAAATTCATGATTAATCATTTCAGATTGAATTTATTTTATTCTCTCTAGAAAACAGAGACATCTTTGCTGAAGCCCTAAAGATTCAGGAATCTGAGGAGAAAGTAAAGTATCTCCAAAAGGTACGCCAATATTTCAGAAGGTCATCTGATTGTCATTGTTTCTAAATAATCTTGATTTTTTTAAACACATGTATATAAAAAAAATCTGCTACTTCTAGTGCATTAGCTTGAGCAAATTAAGGAAAACCTTTATTAGAATTTTAATTGAAAATTAAGAAATTCTGTTCAACTTTGGCTAGTGTCAATCTCAGCAAAAGTCCAGGAATATACAGGAACAACAGAACCAGAGAGAAATAGAAATAGGTAGAGTCACACACTTTCCATCCAGTAAGGTGCCCAACCTTATACAGCATTCTAAGAACAGAAATGGCATAAGAGGTTGGTGCAGTGGTTCACACCTACAATTCCAGTGCTTTGGGAGGCCAAGGCAGGAAGATCCCTTTGAGGCCAGGAATTCAAGACTAGCCTGGTCTACATAGTAAGACCTCTATCTCTACAAAAAATTTTTTTTTAATTTGCCAGCCCTATTGGTACATACCTGTAGTCCAAGCTACTTGGGAGACTGAGGAAGAAGGATCCTTTGAGTCCAGAAATTTGAAGCTGCAGTGAGCTATGATCTCACCACTGCACTCTAGCCTGGGCAGCAGAGTGAAACACTGTTTTAAAAAAAAAATCAAAAGAACAGGAAAAATCAAGTAGAATCGATGGTCTTAATAGGTCAAAATTAAATGATCAGAAGAATGAGTCTGTCATCTAGACCTGTTTTGACCAAAGGCTGAAATTAAACACATTGGTGTGTCAAATCAGCTGAGCACACATCTCTTTTTGGCAACATCCTTTGTTTGCTTTTCATGATACAGGCATAGCCTTTAATACAGCAATTAATACAGTGATTTATAGAAACATTTTATTTGTTTAATGGATAAATTATATTCCTGTAACTTTTCTTATACTGTAAAAGCAAAGATAGAGAACTCTTTTGGGCCTAATATCTTTAATCATTGGACATGCTGGCAAACTCTGAAAGAGTTATCAGGAATTCTACATAAATTGCAGAACAATGCATTTGAGTTTGTTGATCACATTAATTCAATTTGTGGACTACTGGCGATTCCCTCAAACAAATTAGGTAATTAGAAATAGTCAGAATTTTCTTCTCTCTTTAGAATATTATGTACTGTATATTTATATCCAGACTTTATAGGGAGGGGAAAGGCCTAATTTTCAGTGGATTAAAAATCATTAAAAGTCAACTTCAGTACTTTTGGAATTTGATTTTCATTTTATTTCATTTTAGGAAAGGATTAGAAATAAAAGGTTAAAGACAAACTATTATATATTTTTATCAGTTTTTGTCAAAAAATAAGACAATATGATGTGAATTACCAGAGGAGAGGCTATGCTAATGGACTGTTAGGCTAATAATCTTAGAACTGGTTTCCTTGCCTTGGCTCCTTCTGTGAACTTATATTAATTACTCAATTCCACAAATATTTATTGAGAACCTGCAAGTACTGTACTAGCTGCTGGGGATCCAAAGATAAAATGTGGTCCCTGATCTCAAGGAGTTTACAATCCAGTGGAGGAGACAGCCAATTAAAGTCAATAATTATGACGTATTATAATATCATCATAGATGTATGCATATAATACTATAAGAACACATTCAGGGACATCAAAATCAAGTGTAACAAATAAAGAAACCTTCCCAAAGGTGCTGGGTTTTGAAGGATTTGAAGAATATGCAAAGCAAGCCCTCACAGCGTATTAATTGTCTTCCTAAAATACAAATATGATTATGCTAGTCCTCCTGCCTTTTTTTCCACATGGCTGCCCATTTCCTATTACAAGATCAAGGCCAAACTCCTTAGCATGTTCGAATTCCTTTCTAATACAACCCTAACCTGTCTTCTCCCACCACTCTCCCCACTTCTGCCTATGCTCTCACCCCAACTCTGTATGGTTGGATCTCAAGCATGTAGCCCAAGGAACACTCTTTACTCCTTCACATATATGCTTGCAAAGTGATGAAGAGGAAAAGTATATTTTTGTTATACCTAAACATGCATAGTATCTGCCAGGTTGTACCTTAAGCCTAATGGTCATGAATTGCAATATAGAAGATGATTCCATTTGTTCAGAGTAGAAGACAAGAGGCCTAACAAAACCATAAGGCATTGGGAAAGAAAGAGAAGTTACTGAAACTGTGCCTTCGTAGTATATAGGGAAATTTTGTCAGTACTATCTAATACAGTTCAATTCAAACAATGCCAAAGTACAAAAAGGCAACCAAGAGAATCCTGCAATAACTGAATGCTCTCATAGATATCCTGAGATAATATAATATAATATTCATAACAACTAATTATTAAATGTATATTAGGTACTATACACTAAACTAAGCAACTGACATACATCAACGCATATACTCCTCAAAATAGTCCATTATGATTATCACCATTTGGCCAAACAAGGCCTAAATGATTTTCCTATGTCCCCACAACTGGTAAGTGGCAGAGAAGATTCAAAGCCTGGAATCCTAACTCCAAAGTCCATGAAATTAATCCCATAATAGACTCATTGTATCATAACGATTGCTGGCCATGGCATGGTTCAGGTGTGCTGCCAAATATTCTAAAACGCGAAACTATGGTATGAATACAAATGTGAGAAACACTGTTTCCAGCCCTGGCACTATAAGCTGGTTCTTCATTCTGCAGTGCACTTTCATGTATCTACCTGAAATGCTCTTCCCTATTTACCTTCAAGGCCTAACTCAAATGCCAGCTCCTGTGAAGTCTTCTCAGGGGTTACCCAGAGCCTAGCAGAATGAATAGATCTCTTCTCTCTGCTCCCATGGCAAGTCACATATCCTCTCTCGTAGTATTTGTGGTTTCTGATCTGTGTTGTAGATAATTGTGTATGTTTCTCTCTTTCCTGCTAGATTATAGGCACCATAGTGTAGTAGATTTTGGAGACCACAAGATAGGTTTGGAAACCTAGCTCTGCCACTTACTATGTGTGTCACCTTGAGCAATTGATTTAAATCCTGGGATGCTCAGCTTCCTCACATATAAAAGGTGAAATTATTTTTTTTTAAATATCCACCTCATAGAGTTGATGTAAGTAAGGTATACGAAGCTCCTGGCCACAGTTTACCAACAACAAATGACATCTATAAGGTCAGGGGTCATGTTTTATTTGCTTAACCTAGTGCCTTTTTGGTTATAAAACTCAACAAATCTTTGTTAATTGAATAAATGAATGCATAATTAAATGAATTAAAGAGCAAATGAATCCCCTATATATTGATATTTCAATTTTGTTTAGCCTTTTTCGCATAGACGCATCTGGCAAATTTTTCTAGGCTGATAATCTTTGCAAGAATACTCCCAAAATCTAATCTGTTAGCACATCATCTCTCTTCCTAGTTTTGCTTTATCTCATGGGTCATGGATATAATGGGAGGAAACATAACTTCCTGTGATTATTGAAACAGAATATGGTTTTGGATAGCACTTTTTTTCTAAGTCCATAAAACTGTCTCTGCATTGCTGCCACCACTGTTCTAGAATTTTAAGCTTGATATGAGAAAATAGATGAGGGGAGGGTATCTTCTAACCTAACAAAACATTTACGATGATCTATTTAAGAGCATCTTCTACATGTTTTGAACATATACATGTTAAATATACATGTTTTTAACATGTTGATAAGTAAATTCCATATATAATTTTCATCTTAAATTGGGAAAAACATCACCCATAAATTCTCTTTAAGGTTTATTCTTCCACTTTCTCCTTAAAATTAGTGAAAATATAGAAGCTAATTTTCATCTCTCCTGAAAGTGCCTTTATAACCCTGTCTCCCCAACAGATACTGATTTTTCAGTTGTTACAGTTTTTTACACTTTAATATTATTCTCCATTTTGAAATATTTTCCAGGTATACATTATAACAAATGCTTTTGGTTAGTGGTCAAAATGCTATTAATCACAACTATTATTTCTGTGATGGATATCCATGGCAGGAAATCAAAAACAATTGAGTCTGTCAAGATTAAATGGCTTACTATGTCCATAAAGGAAAACTCACAGCACTACACTGGACCATTATTCTTCCTCTGAGAGTTCTAAAGTAGTCTGGAAACATTATAATAAGTGGATAGTCAGCTAATTCTTTGAAATCATAAAACTAATTTGCTTTTTAGTTTTGCCACCTTTAAGAAAGCTCTTTAGCTGATTATCCCTTTATGAAAAGAATTATAAATAATTCATTTGCTGGGAGAAGGAAGAAGAGGTCAGAGCAGTATTTGAAGACATATATGTAGATGACAGATTTGGAAATGATCTGTAATCAAGGCTTTAACATGAATGAATATAAACCAAAGGTTTTTACAGGGAAATATGCAATCTGCAGAACAGCATCCCAGGTATATTCCTTATTTGGGAATGGGGTTTTAATCTTTTCTATTATACATTCTATATAACCAGTAATGTCTAATAGTGCAAGTCTTTCTCAAAAGTTTGTTATATGACACTCCCTCGAACCAGAAGCAAGTCATGCTATGATGAGAACATTACAGTAGTCCTCCTTCCCATGATTTTACTTTCCTCAGTTTCAGTTACCTGCAGTCAACCATGATTCAAAAATATTAAACAAAAAATTCCTGTAATAAACAATTCATAAGTTTTAAATTGCTCGCCATTCTGAGTAGTGTGGTGAAATCTTGTACCAACCCGCTCGGGATATGAATCATCCCTTTGTCTAGTGGATCCACTCTGTAGACTCTACATGCCTGCTAGTGACATAGTAGCCAAGAGAGATAAATCACATTCACATAACTTTTATTAGAGTATATTGTTATGTGCTCTATTTGTTATTAGTCTCACTGTACCTAATGTATAAATTAAACTTCATCATAGGTAGTATATATAAGGAAAAGCATAGTATATATAGGGTTTGATACTATCCGCAGGTGCAGGCAACCACTGAGGGTCTTGGAACTTCATCTATCACCATTGCCCCTTAAATGAAATTCATATTATAGCCGTTTTGAA